GGAACGTTGGAAGCACTGTCTGACGCGTCTGGCTCCGCGACCCGAAAGGAGAAGCGGCGATGGAAGATGAAGATGAAGATGAAGATTCACATAGAAAATAATAGGTATTGAGAACGTTTGTGATGAAATTTCCCATAAAAGAAATTGCAGCTAAAAAACCTCAGTTATCCCCAGAAAACAGTTTCCGAACCTCTTTGGGGTCGCAACCTACAGGGGTGGGAAAACCGGGTATAAAGTAACGACAAATAATATCTACAGTATAAAATTGTTGCACTGCAGAGCGTCAAACCTAGATAATGGAAACTGCTTTATTACATGGTTTATATTAGAACCTATTCCAATACAACCGTCACTGATTGGGTTAGATAATATTAGACTGTCCATATTTTTCAGTCATTACTCCCGTTAAAATCAATGCCTGAAACTGGTTCAGGAGCGAGCTCCGATAGACTGAGACGGTAACTGCCCCCCTGCCACTTGCCAATGATTCTGTCCATGGCCAAAATCTCATCAAGTGCCCCCACTTCACTGAATCGATTAGGCCGTATGAAAGTTTGAGATATCAGCAATGGCTTGGCACTTCGAATGGACTACAGTGCGATTATTTGTCAATCGTTCAATAATGGAGAAGATTTATGGATCGTCGACTGGCATTTGGGGCGCATTCATAAAGAAAAGTCATAGATCATTAATCCCATAGTACGTTTTGTTCTTCGTGTAATATGTGTCTCCCAACCACTGAGCTGATCACATATTTTTGCTTGGTGATCTGTGGATCATTAGCATGTCTTTGCACAATTGATCACGTCCATTTATGGCTGAATAAACAACAATAATGGTATGTACACGCATACTTTTGACTCACGGACAGAAACCTCAGAAGGGTTCGCAAGTGGCTGTCATTTTCTCCACTCAGCCAAGCTCCTTAGGCTGCACATATCGCCGATAATTCGGTCTTGTCACTAAGGTCTGCCTTGCGATTCTTTCCTCCTACGTTTTGCTCAAGTACCTATATCATCTCAGTAGTGTTATTCGATTTGAGGGAAAACTGGCTCATAAATGATGGCACTTTAGGTTGCAGAGTGTCGACTCTTGTCGAACCTCATTACGTTCGTTCGTACGTGAAAATCAAGCTGGCTGCTCGGTGATCGTGTGAGAAAAAAAACTGTTTCTTCCTTTCGAGCGAAGCTAGAGACAGCACAACGCACAGGAAAAACTCCTAATAGCTTTGATGAATGTAGCAGTGTCAATGAGCGTTATCCTGCAGATATTTTTTGTCTGATCAGTAAATCAGTCATATTAAATATAACTTTATGATCTACTCTCTGGATACAGAGGGAATAAATCAACTTTCAGACCTTGATTTTTTTGTCAGTGAGTTAAATAACTAATGAACAGCTAATGAACTGCCACTCCGTTTGTTCGTGGAATCAGTAAACTGGGTAATTGCAGATATCGACGAATGCCAAGAACATGAACGAATTTGTGGAGCCGGCACATGTGTCAATACTATCGGCTCGTATGAGTGCATATGTCCAATGGGCATGATAGAGTCTAGTACTGGAACCTGCATACGTATCTGCTGATTTTCAAGTTTATTTAATTTTCTGTTAATTTAAATGTTTAGCGGACGTACTTTGCACGAAAGAGCTGTACTGCACCAGTGTGGACAACACGTATTGTGCTGATCAGAAAAACGAATCTTATTTGTGTCAGTGTATTAACGGCTTCAATGGCAACCCTAGGATATACTGCAGTCGTGAGTAC